GTTAGAAACACTGTATACACCGCTCGAATCCCTTAGATACGATTAGAACATGGCAGTGCTCTAGTAGTAAACATATGATGCATTTTATCGGTAATAATGTTTCAGACCATAACTGCATCAAACTATAAAGAAGTATAGACTAGAGGCCAACTGCCCTACGAGAAGATTGCAAAGTCGACTGGATGAAACAGATAAAATTAGAACATGCACAAACTCATAACAGTTTGACTATTTTTTAAGAAGAATTCCTACATTCGTATATCAGCTGATGCATTATATTCTACTATAGTATAGCTCCTAGAAAAACGGTATGAAAGGAAATAACTAGATGCCAACTGCCCTACAGACAGATTGAAAATCCGACCGAGTGAAACGTATCCTAGAAACACTTTAGACACCGTTAGAATCCCTTAAATACGATTAGAACATTACAGTGCTCTATTAGTCAACGTATTGAAGCATTCTATCGGTAGCAATATTTCAGACTATAAATGCATCAAACTATACAAAAGTATTGCATACTGACTAGATGCCAACTATGCTACACGTAGATTGGAAAGTCGACTGAGTGAAACGGTAAACAGACGAAATTAGAAGATTCAGAAACTCACAACAGTCTGATTTTTCAAGAAGAATTGTAGCATATAGCATACACTGTAGCATATATTCAGTATGAACGGCATCACGTGACGATTAATTATCTCATAGCCGAAATGATACAGTTTTCGAAAAAATATACTCATTTTATGACACTAATTACAGGGTAACTGCAGCACATATCTAAAAACTAACTTCATTTGTGTCATCTAAGATCTGCGAGCTTTCGAATCATCTTTTTCCAAAATCTGTGAAACACTTTAAACACCGTTTGAATCCCTTACATACGATTTGAACATTGCAGTGCTCTAGTATACTAGAGCACTGCAATGTTCAAATCGATAATAATGTTTCAGACTTTAAATGCATCAAACTATACAGAAGTACAGACTGATAAGTAGCATGTGACTACTTAGTGAATCACTCTATACTATTCATACTGAATGTATATGAAGTGTCACGTGACAATTAATTATCTCATAGAAAAGTTATTGAAAATATCCTCACCTTTTGAGATTCGTTTTTCAGATAGTTTTTTTTTCAGATAGTTCCAAAATCGATTTTTGGGGCTGTTTGTACGACAGCTGTATTTTCATAACTAATCAACATTCAGAGCCAAGACACTTTTCATTTTGTAGAGAAATGTTTAACGTACTTAATTATGTAGTTGCAATTTTAGATTAGTTTGTAGCTTTACTGCAATAATCTTTTAAAAAAGAGCTAAAAAAGGATACCGTTAGCTGGACAAACCGTATAACAGATATTTAGTTATGTCCAAGATCAAGCCGCGCGAGAGTGTTGCTCACTTTCTGCGCTTCAGCCAGTGCTTCGCCTCCTGGAGCAGATATTTGGTTATACCGAAGATCAAGCTGAGTAAGAACGTGACGTTCTTTCAACTGGTTTGTGAGTAAGACAGGGAATCGGTCGATCGTATTTGCATATTTCGTGTTATTAATTACTTATTTAGTTTATTCTGCAATATTGATTGTATTTCGACTAAATGTTGTTCTATTTGTTGAATTCTATTTTCTAATCGTACAAATTTTTGTGTTAACTTATCGATTTTTGAATTATTCGATTTTTGTTTATTATAAACTTCTACTAAAGTCACATAAGAATCGGTTAATTTTCGCTGTTCTTGTTCAATTTGTCGTTTACGATAAATAGATGTCAAAAGTCGTCTATACAATTTAATATAATCAGATGGATGATTGTTATTGTCATACTTATTATGTTTTAATTTATATTTCATTAACCATACTTTTAATCCAAATTTAATTATATTTGATGCATGATATTTTTGTTCTTGTACCAATTGTAATTGTTTAACAAACAAATGTAAATATTTTTCTGATCGAATAAATTCTAATTTTGATGCTATAACAGCAATTAGTAGAGCCGTTGATAATAGGCCAATAAATCCGGTGAGCGTGATAATCACTAAACAATAAATATTCAATATATATGAAATGTATAAACTCAACTTGATACAATTATTTTAACTTAGTTTAGCTTTACGACCGCTTATTAGTTACTAGAGATTCAAACAGAACTCATTTCTGGAAGCATCAAAAGAAGATATCACGATCGGTTTTGACCTTTCTCAATGATCTTGTCAGATGGTTTCCTTCGAAAAAGACAGAATTAAGACACGACAAGCAACATAACTATAACAATAAGTGTACAACATATTATTAGAAAATGAGTTTAATCATTCATAAAAAAAATGCAAAATGTCAAACGGTTTGTTTATCCACTAACAAGAAATTTCATTATAAAAAATAAGAATATTTACTTCTTAAAGAATTCATTCCGTCATTAGTACATGGGGAAGAATAGTACAAACCTCGAGCACAATATGTAGTTGGAACAAAGTCACCATAGCCTGCAAATAGAAATAAATATGTTATAGTTATTAAAGTAAAACAATTTTCAGTGATTTTTTTTTACCAATAGTTGTAAATGTAATTACAAATAGATACATTGCATCCAGAATTGTCATTCGACCCGAGTTTACTTGATAATTACATGCACGTAATGACCAACTCATAATTAAAAACATTGTTAGAACAAATATAAGTAAACATAAAGCTGGAGAAGTTTTCATTTGTGCTTTTATAACAAATTGAAAATTAATTTTAACACGATTTAAATAGCCGAATGATTGTGATGAAGCATTTTTAACCAAACTACTGTGTAGAACTAGAAGACGAGCAAATAAATAAAGTCTTAAAAACATTGGCAATGACAAAAGAATATCGGGTGACGCATATTTAAGTGAATTAGTCTGCGAAGGTTTATATGTCCATATAACGGGTATTGGATGTATTGAACAGATGATTAATTCTAGAATAATTAAACTAACTTTTTTTGGAGTCAAAGCAATAATTGGCCAATTTTCAATTGAATTATCCACACAATACAATTTTACATCGTAATAATGATAAACAAACACAAGCCAGACAAGTAACAATGTTGAAAATGAAGTAAAAAGGGATATGACTATATTCCACTGTGTTATTTCTTCATTACGATGAAATTTGATTTCATTTTCAATTATCATTAAAATAATTCCAATGAAGGCAATTATAAACATTGAATCACAAATAAAACGACTGAAAAATAACAATAGTTTTACAGCTTTCAAATCATTTTTGGAGACAATTAATTCATCAATCTTTAATTAGCTCAAGAACAGTGAAAATTTCATGTTTTCTTGCAAAACTGAACATTTGTAACAATTTTCTCTTACCATCTAATGTGAAGAAATTTTCGTCTGACCAATCTATTTCCAATTTCGGGTATATTCTCTGCCGGTAATTCAACTGGTTTTGTCAATGTTATTTTCAACTTCGTTTGAGGTTTTTTTGAAATGACTATAGTCTCTAAATTATTATTAGTCTCATGATTCTCATTGGCATTTAGATTACAAATTAATGGTACGGAAGAATTTCCATTATCCATTGTTAGATCTTTTCTTGCATCAAACGTGGTTGTACATGGATGAATGCACGTTTTTGGTTTAATGTTGAATGTTTGATAATCAGAGGTAGAATCATAGTATTCAAGCGTGACAAAGAGAATATCGAAACGATGATTATTATTGTTACGTAAGAAAAGTGTATATATGACTAATCAGATTACAGAATCTCTTTTAAAGTGTAAATTTTGATTAAAACGATGCTGCTTCGCATTTTGTGAAAACTTCCTAGGACTTGTGTGTTTTTCGAAGGAAAGGGAAGTTTGAAGTTTAATTTTATAGACTAGAATTTTTTGTGAAAACTTACTAAAAGTTTTCAATAGTTGTAAACTTCATGAGTATATTTGAGAATATCGAAGCTTAAGCTATTTGTGGCGCTTACAACTACTGAAAAATATTGATGAGTTCTCGTGAAAATATTCACTGGATTTATAGAAAATCAGGTTTCTTGTCCTTTATTCAGTTTATTGTTGAAATTTCATTGTAGGTACTATTGTACGTCCAATAATGTAGTTGATTGAGCGAGATATTTTAGTAGTTGTATTAATGATGCTGATGGTTGATTATCATGTCAGTTAACCTCTTATTTCGAAATATTTATGCATGTATTGTGTGATGCATATGTTCTTATTATCGATTCATCTTTGTTTCTCACGGAGAGTCAGAATTTTTTTATTGTTATCCACTACGTTAGATTTTGTTTACTGTTATCGTTTGTTGTAGTGGTTATAATTGCTGAATTATTGATGTTGATGTTGTGTTCTAGGAATTCATTATCCGATATACCATGTATATCAGACGAATTGCCTGTAACTCCATAAAACGGAGATTGCTCATTTCTGTGGATACTTCAGGTATATTTTTATGTTTCGCGTAAGGACAACGATGATTTTTGCTAACTGAAATTAAGACAAGTCATACGTATGGAGTCATTAGTTTGTAAACCATGATGTGTTGCATGTCGATCTGATGCTAGTCTAGTTGAATCTCTTGTATTAACACTTTCACAACAGGCACATGTGATCCATTCCTGCATAACACTCCTGTTATATTCTTTTCGATAAACCTCTTGTTTATCACATTGTTCTGGGTTGCTAAGATTTTTATTATTATTATTCATTTTACTCCGATAAAAAAAACTATTGAATGTTAATTATCGTTCTTTACTCGCTACAAGTCCGTTTAGATCGAGGAAAAAAAATAGTATGAATGAATCACGGTTTTCTACTTTTCATGGTAGAAACTATCGATTTCCGGCTTTACTTTCTAAAAATAAGTTTTTTCCTCTCCCCCCTCTTGCACTATTTCTTTCTATATCTTAATGAGCTTAATTATTTACCTGATTAATCGGGATCGGACGTTTTCGCATCTTTTTGCTCCATAGAAACAACGCTGACAAGCTTTTTGCAAGTTTTCGGCCCTTTTCTAGCGGAAAAATTTGCTCTTATTCATGGCGTTAGACGGAACATTTCCTACACATACTACTATCGTTTGTTGAGATAACGTTGATAAATGTGAATAGTATTTGTACGAAGAACTCAACTAAATTCATTATTTTATTTAATAATACAGAAGCTTTCAACTCAGACTAGACTCATCATCAACTACGTATTTATCACGTTTCCTACAGACCCATGTAGAAATTATATGGAAATATTCGATGGTTTTTGAGTTAGATTCAGAATACGAGAGTCTTATTCGAGTGTCTCTAAGTACCTAAGGTAAAAAGATTGACGAAAAAACGTGTTTTTTTTTCGTTTTTAACGACCAAAAAACGTAAAGGTTTCAAAACCAACGCGTTTTTCGATGAATGTGAACGACAATGAAAGCGTTAATTATTCAACGTTTTGAAATGATTCAAAAACAGAAATAGAGAAAAGATACAGAGGTTTGAACCCTCAACTTTTGTCCCACCATTCTTCCACTTTTCCCATTAGGTCATATCCGCTTGACATTACAGTAGCTGACAACAAACTACTGGAGGGTAGTAGAATGAGTACTTCGCAGTTCGAAATAACCAAAAATTTCAATTTCAAGAAAAAATCGTTAGAAACGACACGAAAAACGCTTTTTCCGACTCTTCAGTATTCACGATCTCTTTTTTCGATGGTCTCGGGAATTCTATATGATCTTATACTTATAAGATAACATATAGAGTTCAACAAGCTGATTATTTTTCATAGTGAAGACGGATTCCCTCTCTTCACCCTTGCTGAGATAAAGACAATTTTTTTTAGGTTTTGGAGAGTTAATAGACCGTACGTCTTAAATTATTCTCGAACACAAAGGAACACTCTTAACTCTCAAAGAGTATATGCCAGAATCTTTAGACAAATGTGATCATGGAAAGAAAAAACATATTTCTGATAATCGTTCAAACTGGCGGCAGACAGCTTACATCTTCCTGCTTTAGTATAAAAAGAAATTTTAATTATCGTATTTTTTGCAGTTGAATAAGCGAAGCATTTTTCATAGTAAATACAGTTTTTAACGGGTTTATGAAAGATGCGCACGGAAAGATGCGCACGAAAAAATTGCGCACAGCCAATCTTCCGCACGGGTAGGTTGCGGAGGCAACAAAAAATTCTTATTTTATATTTATATTTCCAAAATCCTAAGACTTTTAGTTGCCGCATCATATATATCAGATCAGCAGTCATCAAAGGCACTAAGTCATCTTATACGATAAATAACGCATTTTAAAAGTCACTGTTGATACATTGATACAAAGACGAGAAATAAGTAATAATAGGAGATGATCAAAAGGAAAACAGATGACACGAATAACTGAAATGATCAACTATTAGAATTAACCCTTTTGGGACCGGACTATTTTTTCGAAAAAGAAGAGAACACCGTCGGATAGAACGGCAAATCTGCCGCCTCTCCGAAATTTTTTTGACATAGCCAGCGTGAAAGAGCGCATTTTTCTGCATAGGTTTCCACAATTGGTATAGCATTTTATTGAAATTGTCCTAGTAGTAATGGGAGAGTTTCGAAAGGCCCGATACTTGTCCACAGAGGAGAGGGTCACCGTATAGTGTTTTTGAAATATATGATGCGCTTTAACTTTCCGCGATGGTTAATCCTATGGTTGGATGCAGCTTTCTTTCCTCTACAAAACCCCATTAGCACTTAACCCTTTCAGGACCAACTTATCCCTTTCAGAGCCAACTTATTTTGAGCAAAAACTACAAATTTTTCAACTTTTTAAAAATGATTTATTTTTTCCAGATTCATCTAACCCTCTAGCCATATCTAGAATGAAAAACTGATGAAGCACGAAAGTGTAAAAAAAGCACACGCAGTGTATACTTCAAAGAGACGCGAAAAAAGTTCGAATTCTGACGCGTCAGATCACGTGAAATTTCAATGACGTTTTAAAAACGTCACCGGTCCCGAAGGGGTTAAATAAGTCTTAAATAAGACTTAATTAATTAATAGAATTATAAAAATAGAATAAAAAAAGAAATCAACAAAGAGACCGCCTGATAATCACACCTTGAACACTAAACCTCCGTCATATAAACCGATCTTAATAAATGTTTAATAAATGTAATTACATATCCAAATATGTTTGTCTTTCTGTTCTCTTTCCTCTCGTTTAACGTGCTCTCTTTCCATGTCAAATGTGTGACAATGTCCACACATAATATATGTTGTGTGAAGAAAGATATCTCCTTATTTGCTAGATCCCTATTAAAATAAGAACAAACCAGACTATTTTCTTCCTCTTCTGAACGAATCGATCTGGTGGTTCTTCCACACAACCACAAGTTCTTTCAAGACGAAATAAAAAAACAAATACAACTCAATGAAAATTCAGCAACTTACAGCTCATCACAAGACAATAAACCTTTAGTTTTCTGGAGAGAACAACAACAAATTCTTCCTATCTTAGCTAAAATTGCAAAATCTATTTATGTTATTCAAGCATCGTCAGCTGAATCTGAAAGACATTTTTCAACAAGTGGACAAATTGTTACTGAACAACGGTCACAATTAGATCCTGAATGTGTTGAATCGTTAGTAGTTCCGAAAGAAGCATATTTAAATAATAATTCGCCAAAAAACTAAGAAGTTTTCATTTCTTTTGTTTGTGAATATTTCGCGTTCTGGTTTGATTCTCAGTTTGTTTGGTACTATTTAATCTGTTACAGATATTGTTGTAAACTGGAATTAGGACAGTGCAGAAAAGTGATAACTTCGAATAAACAAGTAACAGAAATATGAAAAAGCTAGTGAAAATGACTTTTTCATTAAAATTATTTTGATTTACTGATAAAAGCATCTAAATCGCCCAGTTTTTTGCCGGTTTTTCAGCGGTCTAGAGATTTCTTGAAAACCGGCCGATCTTTTGCCAGTTTTTCGCCGGTCTAAAAAGATTTTGGGGCCGGCCGGTCGGATCCGAGCTGCTGTTTTGAACGGGCCGGCCGGTCGGATCCGAGCTGCTGTTTTGAACGGGCCGGCCCGGCCTCTAATATTTAGACCGGTTCCAACTCTGCTGCAAATAATATTGATAATTTCTACTTTGGAAATTCGAGGAGATTTCCATTCGAGGAAATTCTGTTCGAGCAAACCTCATTCGAGGAAATTATTTTCAAGAATATTGTTTTTGAGGAAATTTCGTTCAAGGAAATTTTCCCCATTCATTAATACTTTCTCAATACACCAGCGGAAAAAGCCTTTTCAGACTTAAGGTAATTCTGAATTCTCTTCATCTTATTTACTGTTAAATTATGTTTACTCATTTGTTTTGCATGTCACCACGATGTCTAACCTATTTTTAAACAAAAAAACACCAGTTGGTTGGGAAACCTTTTTTTGATCGAACTTTTAAAGGTTTTGATTTCGTTACAAAAGTATATAACTTTAAAGATTCGATCTAAACTCATACTTTTTTGTAAACAAAGGACTTCTTTTTATTTGACAAGCCAAATTACACAACACCAAATACATAAATCATTTTGAAAAATAGACTCTAGAGTGTCAGTTTAATAGTTAATTGGAGACATTAATGTCGATTAAAGATTTTCTGTCACTGGTGAAACAACTGTCTCATGTCGACTAAAACAACGCTTCAAAACTTTTATTTCTCTTGTTTTGTTGATAGATGATGCTTCTTTAACTTCGTCCATTCTATTCGAGATTTCATGAGAAGTAAGGATAATTACAGGCCTAGATCCAATGTCGAATTAGATACACATTAGAAAAATCGGTACTTTTGCCGCGCTGCATCAAATTACTTGAAACTAAGGTAATATATGCAGAATTTCACGGTGAATCCGACAGCGCGCTTCTTATAATTATACTTTGAGTTTCTGATAGGATCGCCACAGTCTTTGCGATTTCTTATAGTAAATTTAGGCATTTTTCCTGTTCTGTTACTTTTTTTCTTTTTTCTCTCTTTTCTTTTCTCCTTTCCACGCGCACATTTTATCATGTTTTCTCTTTTATATAGACGAAATATTCGAACATCGAATAACAGATAGAACAAATTTGATTCTAAAATAAGTTTCTTTTATATAAACGCCTCAAAGTTTAAATCAAGCAGAAGCAGTGATGAACTTAAATTTTTACATGAAAATGTCATCTCTGGCATTTTTTATATTTTTTCCTAAGAAATATAATTGCTCTTACATCTTTTGTGTCGATTAAGTGCTATGATAGCAGAATTTAATAACTGATAAATCGTACACCTGGCTATATTATAATTAAAGAAAACAGCTATTCTTTTCTTCATCTCTTGTGCTATTATAAGAAATTTCAGAACAAGAACGTTAATCAGTTGTATTTTAAATGTATAATACATAACCTTAGAACGAGATATGCTGCTGTTATCATTGAGCAAGAATTTAATTCTGAATTTCATCTAGCTTTTGGACATTCGTTCGTTCATACTATAAGTCACAATGGCTCGAGTGACAGCTATTGGTACAATGATAACAGTACGTAAAATCACTATTGACTAACAAAACTTCTTATGACCAAGATCTTGATAATTCTTAATCTCAGTGTTTCTTTTACTTTCTTTTACATATTATTGTAAAAAAACGTTTTTATTTCTTGGACACAGTTGTTCACGGAAGGACGTACAATCGCATATGATTTTATGTCTGCTCAATCAAACTACATAAATTTTTTGGAACCAGATTAATCCGAACTGTTAGTTTATTGTACAATTGCATATAATACTGCCAAGGACTATCTAGGTACTGCTAAAAACGTTTTTTCACTATTTTGTTTGAAACGTTTTCCTAAACTTTTGGCACTTTGAGTAGATCAGGCATTTAACGATACGATTCGACGAAAAGGACATACTAAGGATTAGAGAATAAATATTTCGTGATTTTGCGGGGTTTTATCCGAAGTTCGTCACTGTGGTCAACGACTTTTAAAAAGTAAACAAATCGCCAACTTAAGTCTTTTTCTTGAGACGGTTTAAGTCTCCGAACTTAAGTCGATCTTAAACTTAGACTTAAGCCGGTGACTTAAGTTTTTCGTGATACGACTCCCAGCCTACTTTCAAAACATTTTATGTTAAAGGCGGCACTTCTATGTGTCTGCTAACTTTAAATGGCATCTTTTTTCTGGCTCACGCTCGGTTTCCCTTTATCCTTCATCTTCTTTAACTCTCACATACGCTCCCGCTTCACCGTCATCACCTGCTTCTACTTCTAAGCGTAAAAGGCTAAAAATAAGTTTGGTCTGGAATTATTATTCAAAAAAACTGGCAGTGTTTTTGCATGTGATCTGTGCCAGCGTTCGATCGAATGAAGTTTCTGTTTCGACTTTATCGATGTTATTTCATTTATCAAGTTATCATCCAAAAGAGCATAAAATCGTCGGAGAAAACAGTAACAAACGTGTTCGTACAACAAGCGATACAAATATTCATAGATCATGAACTGTCACATGAATTATCAAAAAGTATTTTGACATTTATCAGAGAAGAACCACAGCCTATTAGTTTTGTTCAAACGAGCAGCGAATTGAAAAAAATAATGAAAAAGTTGAAGCCATTGTATGTTATATCATCGCGTAATCACTCTCGAGATGTTGTGATCCAGAAAGAATATGCAAAAGTTGCTGATCAATTTTATAAACGTAGGTTAATCGGTTATCTTGGCTTACTCCATACGGAATCTTGGGATTTCTGTCCCCAGGGTCCTGGCTAAATGCAAGATTCAAGCTCTTGATTTCTTGGAGTTTTTTCCAAGGTCTTAGGTGCAGAAAGTTCCACTAGGGTTTATTACTTTGCGGTTATATGTATCCTGTTGAAGTTTATCATAACGTCGATGAAGACTGCTGCCTGATTACGCTTATATGTAGAAAGAAATCCTTCTCTCTTTCAAAATTTATTTTGGTGTGTCTCTGAACTTAATCTCGGAGCATGACTGGTATTTCTCTTTTTGATTACAGACGGGAAAATGATGCTTAATATGATAACAAAATGTTTGTTACGTGATTTTAGTATGGAATCTTCGATGTTGTAGAACAATAATACGACACATATCAAGTTCGATAAACCATCATTTTTTTTAGAGAAGAATCTGATAAACCAGTTTCTTTAAATATGTCACATTCTCACATATAAAAGTTATTATTCTTAGCCGTCATGCAATGGATGTATGAGTACTATTAAGGTCTAGCGACAAATTATGTTCTTTTAGCAAGTTTGTTTTTATATTTTTAAATAAATCTAATTGAAACTAAGCAATTCAAGGCATAATGGCATACTATTGCTCGTACTTTATCTGTTATTCAGCTCTTATTTTCGCCAATGACGAAGGCCGAGTTATTTAATGACATTTTCATTATTTCTATATGTGAGGGATTTTCGGTTAATATTACTCTTGAGCAAATAGTCTCTAACACATTTATTTTTATTTTCTTTCTTTCGCCTTTGAGCAGAAACACAAATGAAAACGTCTCTCTCTCTTGCATTACGACACCATAGAAACATTTTTTTTTTGAAGTAGAGAAGGACATGTATACATATTTTTCATCTCATTTTTTTTTTCTATCATGAACTTAATATTATTATTAATAATATTCTGTAATATGCATGTTGGTTTTTCGATGTCAAATCAAGTTTTTTGTGAAAAAAAAGACATAAATAAAGCAGGATATATGATATATGTTACAAAGTTACACTAATGAGACCTAGATCATTCGATAACTTATATTAACGATCACATGAACTACAAGAGACTTAGACGATAATATCTGGCATTGTGTACTGTACTAAAATTAATTTTTTTTTGTTTTACAGACTAGTCAAAATTTAATAATGCCTCAACTAGAAGTAAAGATTATCGAAGCTCGAAATTTAAAACAACAAGATACGTTCAGTAATAATGATGCATTCGTCGAAGCTTATTTAGATCCACATTATAAACAGAAAACAAAAACAAAGAAAAACACAAATAAACCACAATGGAATGAAACGCTTGTGTTGTAAGTACTAATTATGCTTTTACACAAGATAATCAATATTAGATCTAATAGTTAGTTATTTCTAATTATGTATCGTCATAACTCTTACTAAGTGATGATCACCCTGCAAGTTTAGATCTCTTTTACTAGATTCTTCGTGAGTTATCAACGTTTCATTTTTTTTCTATAAATTGCTAATAATTTTCGATTCAAGAGAGATGAAAACTTTTTTTCTCGAAATTTGAGACTCTCTCCAAAAAATATTCATAACTCAACCTCGAAACATTATTTTTGTTTCAGATCCTTATCATGTACCGCAGTGTCTAATGATATTCACTCCAACTACGAAAATTGATCCTGAAATTCATTGAGAACGAGTAGATGCTAAGGTGCCATACATAGAGGGATGAGTTTGAGGATAATGATTACCTTTTCTACTAAAGAATAATGGGTATTCAATGAATATCATAATCATGGAAAGTGGCAGCATTGAAAAATGCAGATAAAGAACTTTGTCCGGAAGATTAAATTCTCACCTTTTACTTTTTAAGATTCCTATACCCTAGTGAAACTTCTTGTACCCAAGCGCTTGGTTTAACAAATGTCATAAGATCTTGGAAAAAACCTCAGGAAGTCAAGATCTGGATTCTTGAATCTCTCACTCAAGATTTCGAGACATATTGTCCTACTCCACTCAAGATCTTGGGAACAAATTTCAAGATCCTGAGTGAATCCACTCAAGTTGCAAGAGCCTGAGTGAAGAATTTTCTCTATGTTTTGTTTTTACTTATGATAGTCATAGTCATCGGATATACGACCATATAGAATCATAGATTCTTCCTTAAACAACTATGGTCAAGAAGAAGACAAATTTGAAGTTATTCTAAGTATGAAAATATTTGCTCTTACACAAGGTGTAAAACAAAAAGATGATTCAAGAATTACTAAGATCTTGGTACAAGAAGTCAAGAAATTACAAGATGTTCAATATCTTGCCTTCTTGAAATTTCTTGACCACATTTTCTCACCAAGATCTTACTGAAAAAATTTAAGAAGTCAGGATCTTGGTTACAAGAAGTTCCACTAAGATAGATATTTGTTGCAATTCTCCCCCTTATAATTTTTAAAAATTCGTTCATGACTCGCTTATATGATCGATGGAAGATGACTTAATTTTGTGTTCAACATATAAAATTTATATATATTTAGATATACGGCGTTCATCTGATTATGCTATGCAGATCATTTCACTTACGTTGCATCCTTCTCATTTTTAGATGTTTCGAAGTAAAATGAATAACATATTTGACATTAGCAGATAAAACTCGATCGAATAGTTATGCTTGACACTCACTTTTTTAACGCTGATATTTCATCGAAAATTTTCTCTCTGAGCAAGCGATAAGTGCGTAGTCTTCATGGCAAAGTTTCATCTATGATTTTTGTTACTAGATTTCCTTGAGGATGATGTACATTGGATACAGATTCCATGATAGAAATGGAACTTCTGGGATAGAAATGGACGCTTCTGTCTTGCCGGATCATTGATTAAAAGAAGGCTAAACTTGCTGGATGATCAACAGTCAGTAAAAGCTGATCACAAAAAATTAGAATTCACTCACTATCAAGATTTTGGAGTTGTAACGACGCCATTACGTTTGTGATGTGTTGTAAATATTGAAAAGATAACGAAATTTTTTTCAATAAACAGTTTAGATTACAAAATATCTGCTTTAGTTAAGTTTTACTTTATAATATGCAATATGTTTAGTAATCACCAGTATGGTCAAGATACTTTGTTTTTGGATGTGTATGACGAAGATTTAGTTAAAAATGATGTAATTGGAAAAATAACAATTAATTTAAAAAGTATCTATGAAAAAGGTAAAACGAATAAATAAAAAACAAAGTCAATTTGAGGCAAGCATATTTGTGTTTAGGTCATCTAGACGAATGGATTAAATTACCATCGAAGTCGGGTGTATCATCTTCGCACGGTGAAATACATATTATATTAAACTATCAAGATTTTGAACAACAAAACTCATATCTCTGAATATTTTCTGCTGTAAATATTTTTGTTGTACATAGAAAATCGAACCACAATAGACTATTTCTATTTTTGTTATATGGGCTGTTCGCCATCTAAAATCTAGGTATACCGCAAAACTGATATACCAATACCGCGTTTCAAAGAACCAAAACTCTAGCCAATGCATTTTTCAATTAATTGCAACGATTATCTGAAATTGATACAACACGACCACGTTATTGGCGTTTAGCAAAAAAATCATTGTCTTTTCTCTTTTAACTAGTAACAACTACAAACAAAAACAAAAAACTACTAAATTTTCTGCGTTGTATTCTTCCATTTCGGACCTGAATTTAAAAGATCACGGAAATAAGATACTTTCGATCCTAATTGACAAAATTTTAAGAGAAAACAATTGAAAGATCTCGGTTACGAAAAATAAATTGTTTTATGCTGAAATCATTGATTAGATCGAGACAAAAATTGTAATGACACTAGTTTAAGAAAAACACACTTTAGATCTCGGAATATTTCTGAGCATCGAAACTGCTTCACTTTCCATGTAATTTACACTAGTTTTTCAGTAGTGAATGTTTAGTTTCATCCATTTAACGCAAAAAAATGAAAATGGCTCGTGAGTTAAAAGATTATAGACTGACAAATGATGTGCTGTTTATTTTATCCAGAAAAATTTCTTATAATTTGTCAAAATGAATTTTATTTAGTGCCACTATAAATGGTGACCTCTCTATTGAGAACAATTTTCTTAATCATTTCTCAACTAAGAATAATTCAATTGATGCGCTGCTGAATGAGCACAATTGTTTATGCATAATCTTAAATGAAAACATTTTAAACCATGAAAATTTCCTTCTTCAACATTTTTTCGTATATATTTTCTAAGGAGAACAACTGTAAATTTGGAAGATAACAGATTAAAGTATAAGCTAATTAAGAAGCTTCTTAAAGCGCAGAATTAGTAAAAGAATAATGCACCTGTGATGATCGTGTTAATTCTTAGCTGAAAGTACAATTTGGAAGCTAAAGAGACTGTAGGGCGGCTCAGAAGAATATAGAATACCAAGACGATCAACATGGTGAACCTTCAACCTTGTAAAGCATTACCGTTATTGAGAAGCAAAATACGTTATTACCATTTGCTACTGTACGAAGTAAATTGTAGGTTTAGTAGTACTCCTGTCGATGTAACTAAATATCAACTGTATTGATTTAGTCGTTATATAATACTGTACAGTTTATCAGATGGTCTTTTAAAAGACGAACTGTCGGACATTGATCTCTGAATATTTATTTTGAATTACATTTTCTATAACTGCATTATGTATCTCCTTTTTTTTGAAGAATGATAAAAACAGTAATCACGCATATCTACCTGTTCTTCTTCGAGTGGTCACAGTTTGAAAATGTTGTCCTTTAAGAATAAGTTTATGAATTATTCTTATTCAAGAGTGCATGAGTCGAATTTGTTCTCCTTTGAGATTGATTATAAAATATTCTTCTCCTTTAAGAGCACACAATTTCAAATTATTCTCACTCGAGATGGCGCCGTATAAATTATATTGCTTATGTTATCTGCGCGTTGACTTAATAAACAAGAAAATAATAAAGTAGAAAAGGGTTAATAGTATCTGTTCTTATTCATACACTTGTCTTTACCCTATAACATCTACTTCTGTCTTCTAACTCATAAAACATTAAAGTAGAGATAATATACATTTCAAGAATAAGAATGGTCACATTACAGTTTTAACATCTACTGTACACATTACATTTTAAACGAGAATTGCTTTTGTATATACACATTTTGTTGTATTAATTTTATACGAATTTTATTTTAATTTGTTTTATGTTATACTGACGAAGAATGCACGTTGTAATCGAAACGTCTAACTTTTGATTGTAAATAATAAATTTTACGACGACAAAGTATATATTATAAGAAAAAACGATAAATATAACAAAGTATCATATCACCGATAAAAAAAAATTAATGTTTGTTTAGAGTTAAAGAAAAGTGCTTTTTCGTATTCAGCTTGATAACCTGAAAAATTTTCTATTTTTAGCCAGGGGTACTGCCAAAAAGTTAAGAAAAATTTTCAAACAAATTGACATAAAAAAATCTCCATGGTAAAATTATTCAATTTTGAAAATTTTTCTTAACTTTTTGGCGGTGCCCCTCGCTAAAAACAGAAAATTTTTCAGGTTATCAAGTGTGCTGAATGAGTTCGTTGAAAGCTTTTTCTTTAACTCTAAATAAACTTTAATTTTTTATCGGTGATATGACATGCTTTGGTTAGTACGGCGATCGGTGATCGCGTCTGAAGCTTAAGGTTATAAGCTGTATGGGTTGAGCAGTAGGAGTAGACCACACTATAGCAGTGCACAAGATGGAGAATCGAACACCCCAAGTTTACTTTTGGATAATTTAGTCTACAAAGTAAAACTGATGCTTTAAAATTCATAATTTTAGTGTTCGATTCCAACATCTGTGTTGTTGGTAGTGTTGTTTTGTTCTCTGCTTTCCTTCTGTTCTATCCTAGTCTCTCTTTTTCTCTCAACGACGAGTTATTATTATAGTATACAAACATATTCGTTGAAGTTGTGAAGAAACAACGCTTTTTAGCTGTCACAAACATTTTCTTTTCATTTAAATTTATATAATCATGGGTGATTGAGTGGATTGAGAATAGAATCGTTGACTATTATTACAATTGTTCACCCTAAGTGTTGCTGTCATTATTGGATTCTTTTTCAAAGAATACTATTTTAGTTACTTAACTTTTTTAGTTCATTATGGGTAGTCAGAAGTATGAATCGTTCCACAATTCGGATACAATACTATTTGTGAACATTGTTATTATCTTAATAGCCACATTGACTGCATATGACTGATTGACTAAACGAAGAAATGACTTTTTCTTGAAATTTTAACTAGCTGATGGAAAACTAGATTTCCCGTCAAATTTGATTATTTTTGATAAATTTTTTTCATTATGTAGCGGAGGCTTTGCTCTTTCGAATGGTGTATAACAAGAGTTTTCAACTTCATCGAAAACGCAAAAAAAAAGAAGAAAAAGTTACCGTATGATCAATTCTGACTGACCCTGTATGTTTATGTAAATATTGCGATGTAAGTCCCCGAATAACCCGGCAAAAGAGATTTAAACTCAATTGTGGAAAATGTGTTTAGATGGGTAGCCAGTGAAGATCTTTCAATAGTATCTCTGTCGAAGTTCTACTTATCGCATTTGAGACAATTTGAGCAGGTTTCTTATTTTAATAATTGTAATTACCCAGGACGAGTTCCTGAAAGATCCGACGTCGGAACATGCCGCAATCCGACAAAATCTGGTACAATCCTACCGGAATCATGCCGTATTAAGTCGGAATCCAGGCGCCTAGATTCCTTGCCGGATGATGTCGGTAATTATCCGACCGGATCCTTCGAGTTTCAGACATCGAATTTCGCTGGATTTGGCAGAATATGACCCGTTTTCAGGTGTTTAAAGGCTAAAAAGAGCCTTTTTTTTTTTTCCTACACTTTTTCGTTTAATTTCTAGTAGCTCCTGTCTCTGCGCGTTCGAGAAAGTGTAAGAGCCCACTAGCTATGGCGTGTACAACATGTCTGCCGATCAGTCTGAGTCTGTTAAGAATTTGAGAAGAAAATTTTCCTGGATTTCATTTTCTGCAATGTCATATTTAAAGCACTGCTGTCGCCAAACAAAGCAGTGAATAAATTATGCGCACAGAAAATAAAGAAAACAAAATAAAGACGTACGCACCACAGGATCTGTCGATTTGTAGTGACAGGATATTAACGGATCCGACTGTTTTCGGATATCGGATTCGATCTCTAGATCCTCCAGGATTCAGATATCGGGAAGCGAAAAATTGAGCGGATTCTGGTCTCGGGATCCGGTCGGTCGTTCGAACTCTAGAAATCATCGGAATTAAAAGTATCCTACAGGATCGAATTTGACCTGGGTAGTTGTTAAGTAATACAAAGTGGCACCGTAGGTTAAAGTCTGAAGAACAAATGGCTTACAAAATAACATCCAGCGCACGCTAGTCAATAATCATTTATTTAACATCATTATTCCAACAAATAACCTTAATGAAAACAAAATTGTTTTACATTATTTTATATTGAATGACAGCAGCCATTTATTCGGCTAATAAAGTAACCGTTCCATATTATTCGTAATCACAGTAACGCCACAGATATAATATTTCATGCATGTAACTCCGGGCGGTCGTTTTTTTCTACAAAAACATTTTTGAAAGCAGATCAATACTAAAGACTATTTGTCATGCAAATATGTCACACTTGAAAATGAACTTACGAAATAGTCTAGATTGTGAGAAAGGCTAGAAAAATAAAATTTAATTGAAAATGCTGATATATTCCGAAATATTGAAACATTGTTTTTCTCCCTATTGTCTCATCATTGACAAAGAAAAAACTGACTTTACACTTTATATGTTTATGCAATTACAAAGCAAGGCAGTTATAAATAAAATAGTTCTGAATTATGTTGTATCATAGTTATACAGAACCAACGGAACAGAGGAATAACGACCGCTCGGAATAATGTCGGAGTAGTATCGGAATAGAGGAAGAGCGACCGACTGACCGGCATATATTTTGAAACGCTCCTTTAATTTCATAAAACCGAGCTCAAATCAATTTTTTAATCTAAAATTTCATTGTTGCTCTACGTGGATTATGTGAATGTTCAAGGTTAATGCTGAAATGTCAGAAAAAATTAACTTTACTGTGATAAGAAATTTTCCCAAATTCAATTCCTTAGTGTAACGAGACTCCGCAGTTTTTATCTGATTTAAATTTTGCATAAATATTTTTACACATAAAACAGCTACCCTCGGTGAAAGTGGACGTATTTATTTCTTTTTTTTCAAAGTTTCGAAAAACTCTTAGTTTTGTATCTTCGAAAATCTATTTTTCTCAATCAGCAAAGCTTGTTAAAGAAAACAAATAACATATTCGGTATCAGCTGGTCAAGCTGCATCAAACCATGTAGGAAACAAGTATGTAACGGTATTTACCAGTTACAGCTTCGTGTTTTTTCCACAAAAAAGTTTTTGTAATGCAAAATAATCTTCTAGAGTCATTCTAACCACTGGTGCGTGTAGAGAAAATATCCTCTACAATATAATGTACAAGGATACTTGGTGTCTAGATTTGATGATGGATGAAAAATGTTCCATGACCAATGCTGATACCGGTATCGGTTAGTACACCATTAATATATCTTTGCCAAGAAACGATTGAGAAAAAAGAAAAGATATGAACATTTCTGCCATGTCTCATTCTGTAGTGAACGGTAGCTAAAACTAACGGGGGAACATATGTAAGTGTCCCCTCGCTTTTTGAACTTTGCAAAGAAAGGTCATATAGAGCTGGGAGATGTCTCATTTTAATCAGAAATGTGCGGGCTACAAGGATGGCTTATTAAGAAAAGCTTTAGCTGTTTTACAGAGTTTCTAAAAAACTGCTTTTTCAGAAAACCGGGTCTTCGAAGTCATAATGGCAGCTCTCATATTCATATTCGGAATCAGCATCATCGATAACCTATAACCCACTAGGTTTCGTTCAAAAAGCGAGGGACACTTACATATGTTCCCTCGTAAGTCGTAAAAAGCCTTTAATGTCTCGTACTCTGTAATCAATCTGATTAAGAAAGAGTAAAATATACCAGTAAATACCGCTGCCTGATGCCCAGTAGGTTAAGTTTTGGAAAAAAAGAAGGCTTAAAATTTTTCACCTTAGTGTTCCTTCTTATTGAAAAAATTAAGGGTTTTTGAAAACAATAATTTCTGAGACAATGTCACAATAATAAGATTCTGAGATGATTTAAGAATGATAATAGTTTACATTTGTAAAAGATTTCTGATGTCCACGTCCCACATCTCGATTGTGGACCACTGTTTCGACTATCATTATTTCGATTTTTTATTTCGTTCACAAAAAAAAAAAAAAAAACCACGATTAAAAGGCGCTTGATTAATGACACTTATATCTGGAAGATCAGTTAATTTTTCCAAGCAAGAATAACGATTAAAACAAATGTTATAGTGAGTGTGTTTGTTTTACATGTTATAACAGCCAAGTTTCGTTTAGTAGTTGAAGAATATTTAGTTGTAGATGCAATCCATAGACTCCATGCTGCTGTCGTGCTGTTAGTACGATAATTACTAGTCAAATTATTATTTATGGTATTATTCGGATAAACATTCGGATTTTGATTTATTAATACTGTATAATGACTTGTATTTTGTTGACCCAATATTGAAACGACAAGCACAATCATAATGAGAGTTATTAACACCATTTGACTCATTTTTGAAAAGAAAAAAAAAATTAGATCAATCTAAAATAATATCAAAATCTTTTTAAAGGAAAACTTAGAAAGTAAAACAAAATAACATTTTTTTAACATAATCGATCTATCAAGTCATCAATATAAATAATCCTAAAAAATGTCCTCTAATAGAACATACAGAGTTATTCAAAACTCTTGAGAAAAAACTTTTATTTAGATTTTTACTATTACTATATTAATTAGAAGAGACTCGAACCTTTCTGGTACAGTTGATAAAGGGAACAAAATTTTTCTAATAGTCAACACCTGTATCTGCGATGTATTTCAATTGCGTCAAAGATACTGACTTGAAAAATAAGTCGCCGTTGTTTCGGATGTTGGATGAATAGAACAATGTTTTTGTACATTTTCTTCATTCAACAGTTTCTGTTGTATGATGTTATTTTGTAATCTTTATTTGATTTTTATTTCTTAAGGTTATGCGGTATACAACTATATAAAAACAATTTACATTAATGTTATTTTGATAAGATTATACTTTTTCAAATTTTCTGTCATGAAAGAACTATTGAAAAACAATATCAAAAGGAACTCGAAAATGTCTCATAAGGAATAGTACTACAATGTTCAACCTTTGTTACTTTGATTATACAAACCCTGTGTCTTCATACTAAACTGAAAGCATAAAGGTGTACGTATTATGATATGTGATAATCTATATCAAAACGAAATTATATCCAATTGCAATATTTCTTCTAATTTAATCATCAACAACAAAAGACTATTTGTGTTTCGTAAATACAAAAATGTTAAATAGAATTTGAAATAATAACAGACATAAGTTAGAGCAAACCAGGTTTCCATTTATGTATGTAATGATAATTATTTTCTAAAATACTATGTGATGTTTTTATCTTGTAATAATAAATATTTCTCATAATGATGCCTTAATGTTGTCGATCGCATATATTACGGTGTTTTTGGCTCTTCTGCCAACTAAATGAATCATCATAAAACGTCATTAGTATGCAGTAAAACAGAAAGAGTTAGAAAAATGGCTATTTATTCTGTTCTAAGCACTAAAATATGTCGGTAAAGTAAGTATCAAATTCGTTTCTAGACTTGATTCAAAACCTGAAATGTTCCAAAAAAGTGCTCAACGAATTCTATTTGACAATACGCTTATTAGTATTAGAAAAAAGTTATAAAATGGATTTTAGGGAGGGACTTTATTACAAAAGTTAACCGTGAGTCTAAATATTTTAATTCATTTTGAAAGATAATTTGTAATTTTAAATGAACTAGGCCGTTTTGTAAAGCTCGGTGCGTCCTCCGTGAATCAAGTTTAGGTATGAATTTAGATGCAAAATATTCGAGTCTGATGTTAAGTATACCTATATTATTAAAACTTACCGTGAGGGTAAAATGTGAGTTAGTATGGTTATCCTAAGCCAGAAGTTTTTGAACGGACTTTCATCCATTAAAATTAAAAGAAAAATTAAATTAGAGCCTTAATTGATAATCAGCTCATGAATAAATTCAATTTTTCATAAACAAAATTCGCTCAGTAGTGGTAGTCAGGACGGCTCTTTGCGAATTGAGATCACTTTTTTGCACTCACTCTCATTCTCACTTGGCCGCCCTCTTTTGTTTGTTTGATGTAATTAAGACGTCCAAATTTTTTGATAAAAATGGTCTCAATTCGGAAGCCCCGATCAGGACTTTTCATTTTTTTTTCGTAATGTGTCCGAGTAACAGCAAGTTTCCGTTGAAATATCGGCCCATGGAATGCGTAGAAATTGGAGCAAAAGAAATTCTATACCAGTACATTACTGACTGTATTGACATATAATCCTGACTATTGACTAGTCACTGTGAAATAGTTGATATTAGATGGGTTGTTTTGAAAAAAACCTTTGATTGTAACATGAAGAGACTTGTACAAGGTTTATTGAAAATTGAACTTGTTCGTGAGCTGATTGTCAATTAAGGCTCTAATTTAATGTTTCTTTTAATTTTAATGGATGAAAGTCCGTTCAAAAACAGTATTCATATTCGGTGAAAATACACTTTTTCTATCCATTTTTTACACGTATGATAGAGCTCATGGTTCTGACTGGCTGTACCATTTAGCATGGTATCAGAATAGGTTTCTGATATCAGCGGAAGTTTTTTTCTGTCTGTCCTGTGCGATTTACACGGACTGTTGACAATTACCCCATGCCAAATAGCTGAGTGTCCATAATTACCCCAAATAAGAAAAATAAAAAAAAACGACTGTATTCTTTTATTTTCGCAATTTCTAATTAATTAATATCAAGGATATGCCTAAAGGATCAGCAATTTATAAGGTAGATAAATCTCAAAATCCTCTACAAGACGGTATACTTTTTAATTCAAAAGGTAAAACTTTGCCATTGAAATGAAAGTTGTTTTACTTCTTCCAGCCATTTTTTCTGGACTGTCCATAATTACCCTAACGAGACATCCTGACCGCTCATAATTACCCCAAATGGGGTAATTAAGAACATTTCATAGGAGCTTTCTGGAAATTGATGAGTACTAAACTCTTATTAGTCCGTTTGCACATAAAAGTTTAATACATTCTTACTATTCCTGAAGTTTGATTTGCTATTGTGCATTCTCTCTCAATTCGCTATAAAATTTGCAGAACCTTCAATTTTTCGGTCATTCTATGAAGTCGCAGTGATACAGACTCCCAACTTGTACTTTGTTTATATACGGTAACTCTTTCTTTTCCAGAAAAACTCAAAGTGGAAACATGACAAATGTGTTCAACTTTCGAAGCTTATGATGATAAAAAGTTGACTTTATGATCATTGTGCTTGATAGATTTAATATTCAAACGTCTCTGTTGTAACTTTGTTCGTTCAAGTTCAGAATGTATTATTGATCAAAAGTACTCAACGGTGCTGTGACTTCATTATTCATATCTATTGCGGCTAATTCAAGTTCTAGTTGTTCTATGTCTGTTGTATATGAATTTGGAAATGGTCTACTGAGCATACTTGTTATTTGATCAGAATCCACGATAAATTGAATATCCTCATATTCCTGAAGTTTGAATTCATCGCTGGTTGAAAAGTCTAGCTATAATAAAAGAGCATAGTGCTTACAAGTCTGACGAATTACATTTTTCTTAGTACTGACTGTCTGTCTGTGAAGTGTATCGGCATTGTCCAATGTCAACTCTTTGTTATGGCTGTAAATAATCAACGAATCTAAAGCAAAAGTTCTACATTTAATTAATACATTTTTCACTTTCGGATCAATAATACGTACCTGGTACTGTATAACTTGGGCATGAATCAAAATTGACTAAAAAACAAAAAGTGATTCATTTCAGTTAGCTATTTGTATTTCGACTTGTACTAACCGATTTTACGCTGATCATCTGAATCTATAATCGATGACAACGATGGACGTTTTTTCAACAATTTACGGTGCTTCTTCGACGAGCAACACATGCCCATAGTTCTGTTGTTTCACACTAGTTAATAAATTCACTGTTTATGTCGAGTAAAAATATTCTACTTTTAGAAATTAATATTACTTAACCAGAATCCTAACTGGTGAATAAACTAGAAACCAACGTTGTTAGTAAGTACTTACATGCGCTTAACATTATACAAAGATGTTAGCAGTTCATCAGCCAAGCTCACAACGACCGGTTCGGGCCATCGAAAGTTGGGACGGTCTTTGAAGTAGTAGTGTCTCAGCAATAGGTTCTTAGACTGCAAACTAATTCTAACATATAGTGTATAAGACAGACTATATAGAAACAAAGAAAGAAAAGAATGCTTAGTGTAGTCACGAATACTTGAATCAGGAATATTCTTTTCTTTCTTTGTTTCTATATAGTTTGTCTTATACACTATATGTTAGAATTAGTTTGCAGTCTAAGAATCTATTGCTGAGACACTACTACTTCAAAGACCGTCCCAACTTTCGATGGCCTGAAACAGTCGTTGTGAGCTTGGCTGATGAACTGCTAACATCTTAGTTTAATGTTAAGTGCATGTAAGTAATTACTAACAACTTTGGTTTCTAGTATTATACGTTTTTTGAAAGTCTTGAAATGAAGATCTAGTCGGGATTTTTGTCGCTATGTCAATAACATCACCTGTACAGAAAAGAGTGAATTTACAGAATGCAAGAATTTTATTATGCGTCGGAAGAATACCGTACACATAAGAAGTCACATTAATTTATTTCACACGTATAAGTGGTGTGAAGGTCATTTTTTCAAGAATGACATAATAAACTAATTAGAATTTAGCAATAGAAATCCTAATTCATGGGAACTGAATCATGTGCAAGTGTCGAATTTCTATACGCTTTAAGATGTTAAAGATGAGTATAGCTCGATGCACGTTGGGCGAGTGATACCCATTCCGAGATATTTATATTTGTATTTTACTCATATATATTACGAATTTTCGACGTTTTCTAGCTGTTTTGTAAACTCTCATAATGTGTTTTCTTCTCTTTTTCTTATAATAAAAAAATATCGACGCTTGATTCTATAACCAAAGTGTACCTCCCTTGCACACTATCTATCGTGAAAAAATGGTGCCTGTTATATACCTCGACATTAGAAATGGTTTTTATTTATGAATTCATTTTTCTCCCCATATGAAATATCAAGAAATTTATTTCTATTTACTTTGTCTCGTATATTGCTAGTGCCAGATCCCTGTTAGAGAAAAGTTTTACATCAGCAAAACTGCTTTGATCAGCACTCAAATCTTGGTGTACACGTCTATTTGTATTACTTTACGTTCAAAGATTAGCAAATTTTTAGGTATACAACTCAATTCTTGTTGAAATCTATTTGATGTCATAGTACAACTTCTTGCGGAAAGAAGTTTCAAGAATACAGGCAAGATATTTCTTCGACTGAGAAGTTCAATTGTTAATTCATGATCTGCAAGAAAACAACTGTCAATTTTTGTTGACATATCTTGCTCAAGTTCTTTACAACGAAATGCAAAGAAAAGTTCACTAGGGAGGACGGAGATCTGAAAATAGCTAAAAACCTTTTTTCTACAGTCAGAAACCCTAGCATCTCTCAACAGCGTCTGTATTTTTCAACTACAAAAAAAGGTGAAAAAAACATGGTATGTTTTAGAAGTACTCACCTAGTTCAGGTAGCCGAATAATCATATAAGCAAAACACCGTTTTCATCTGGTTTAAACTTCCTATCAACTTCAAGATTGTAGATTATATCTAGATCTGAACATTGCAAAGCGACATCTGTTTATTCACAAACAATGAAGCCTGTATACTATATGAATTCTACATACTGTAACTTACTTCTTGCTATCGCTGACCTATTTTGGGTTAACCATTGATATTAAGAAAACACAAAATAGCCTTATGCCTTTTCCAACTTTGTTTCAAAAAGAAATTTTTCAAATCAAGACGTATTGATTTTGATAAAAGAAAAGTTTATCGAATAGGTGATACTTGATAAAAGAATTTTTGATTTTTAAGCGGTTTACAGTTATATTTTCCATCAAAATAGATGAAGAGTTCTTTACATGTAAGTTGTAAAGCTGAAATCTAATATGATCGATAGTTTTTGTAGTTTTAAGATGTACCGTTGAACATAATTGTTTTAAGTTTTTATTTGTATTGGATCTTATATGATGCTTGTCTCTTTCTGTTTTTCAGCAAAGTTTTATTTTATATGAATGTGACATGGGTCGCATTTTCTATACTGATCTGTCATATTCGGGAAAAAAAGACTTTGTATAAAGTTAAAATTTTCATCTAGTTTAATGGATAATATTACTGTAAACAACTGAGAAACCATCAAGTCTTCTCGAGTCCTCTTATCAAGATCCACCGATCGGAAAAACTTCTTTTTATCAGAATCTTTTGACTTAAATTTCAGAAGATTCTGACTTAAAAATTTCTTTTTTAAACAATGTTGAGGAAGATCTATGATAAGTATCGAATATAATACATAGGCACAAAATTGCGATAGTGTAACTTTACTATAAAATATTTAAAACTTTCTTAGCTTTCGCAACGGTCGCAGATCTGAGATTTTTGTTAATTGTCTTAATTTTTGATGATCTACAAGGTATGATAGTTCTTATTGCTATCGCCGAAGGTTTCTGTAATAAAGCTATTTTTCAGATTGACTGATCCAAATGCAATTCACATTTATTAACTCATGAGCACTGTAAAACACTTCTCCTCATTGGTAATTCTTTTTTCGATAGCAAAACGATGTTCTATTACAGATAAACAAGACTATCGATGCTGAAAACTTCTGCTATTAGCAATGATTTTAGTATTATTAATGATTCTGTCTGCGGCCTTTGCGACGGCTAAAGATTTGTTGAGCATTAATTACAGAAGTTAGTTCCTAGTAAAATTCGGTTGTTACCTTGCGACGGACAGCAAGCATATACCTTTTATATTGGCTTCGTTTTCTCTCCTTATGTGCTCACATGTGCGTGCGTGAATGAAAAGCAACATTTCAAACAGAACAATAGAAAATAATCGCCTGTTCTCTTTTGTCGCATCGTTTGCTTCTCTTAAAAGCGATCAGATTTATATTGTTGACAATAATGGAATCTTATCGTTTAACTTCATCAAAGATTTTTTAAAGTAGTTGTATTTTGGCCATCTTAACTCTGAATGTGTGCCCACATATTAGTTTTGCTTTAGTACACTTTTCATTCTTATATGTATTGCAAAAGTTAATTTTATTTTACATCGAATTTTATAAAAGAATTTGTCGACAAATGTGACAGTTATAAAAGAGAATATATCGTTTTCAAAATAAAATTATGTAAGTGAAAAATCTGTCTTTAATCCATTCAAACAACAGCTACTGTTCTCAAATCATCATGGAGATTCATGGAAACATGTATTTTGAACTATCTTGAAAGAATTTATATGTTGATCTTTCAAACGAGAATCGATGTTATTTTAGAACTTTTGCTCTGTAAGCAGCCAATTATCGAGTAGTCGTTGTGTCCGTCGTCTAAATCTCTTTGTTCACTAGTCTCAATATCCTAGATTTATGCAGTCCATGTCACTATACCAGAGGCAATAGTTGTTACTTCAGAAAATCAGGCACTTTGCCATCCAATGATTAATATAAAGTATGCATGAATGATTAAATTGATTGCATCTTTCTCGATTGCAGCCATATACGTACTTATGTTAAATCCGAAAAGGAACTGAGTGAAATGTATCAACAATTCATTGTCCGAATTGCTAGACTATTCAGCGCTAGATTTCTTATATTTTTAAATATGTCTGTCTGCAATCCAAATAAGTCACAACTTAAATCTCTCATATTTCTTCTTTCAAATATTAAAGGAAGTTTTTTAAGAGTAAAAATTACGTATATGTTTCTTAGTAAAAATCAATTTATTGTTTTCTCAATCAATAATTTTTTTCTAGAGCAAAAAAAGTACACAGTTTAGTTGACATCAATAACTCCGATGATTTGATGAAAGTTATTACCGGGTTTTTGATCCGCTGAACATTTCTTGCATACCCAATTGGCCACACATTCGAGTTCCATTGATGTTTGGATACTTAGATAATAACGACTTCGCAGTTGAGGGGCTTTAAAACTTAGTTTCGAAAAACCGGTGCCTGGATTAATTGCAGAATAAATGCATGAATCTAAGGGTTGATCGTCACTACTGAGGCCGACTTGAAGTTGTTGGGTTCGATCAGGTGTTGAAACGACAGAATACGTGAACTCAACTGTATAGGTGCCTGATGGCATTGTGTTATGGTGAACTGGAACACTGTTAATTTGAACATTGCTCACTTGGACTCCATTGTTTAATTTGACATCAGGTGCATCAATGACATCCACAGCAGCGATTATATTTGCCGGACTGGGCATTCCATGCCACCAGTTTTGATGAGTATGACGACATTGCATGTCTTGTGATCTATCAAAAGCAATGTAATATCTTCCTGGTGTGGGTGGTGCCGTTAATTCCATAGCACCTGTTCCTGTCGCTCCAGCTAGACCCGGTCCCCCAGAATAAATACAGCCCTGAGGAAGACCGAAGGAGAATCCAATTTGTATCTGTTCCATACAACCAGGACACCAGTCTGCTGCGACTATTTGATAATTAGCTTTAAATTGAATCTTGGAATTTGTCGTGGTCACAATTTGTTGAGTTACAATGCCGTTTAACGATACACTACTTATGGTCAATTTATACGATGTTGATGATGTGCTGGAATCGACAATGGTTAAAGACGTGGATGCAGATGCACCAGTGGAATCTGTAACTGTCAGTGAGTGAGTACCGGCCGCCTTTGCAAAGCCTGTGAGAACACCTCGTGGTGTAAGATTAAATCCATCTGGAAGCGAGCCAGACCATTGATATGGTAGCGTACCCTGGGTGGCATTCAACACGGAGGCGGGATACAGGTGATTGAGAAATCCAATGTGTGGTTCTACCGTTATTTTTAACTCAGTTGTCTTCAAAGGTACGGCGAATATTAAGGATAAAAGGTTGAAAAGAAAGATTGTACACAACATTTTTTGTGTGAAATAACTCCAAGAAAAAATTAATACTAACTAAAAAATAAATAACTTTACCTTTGTTTTTCTCCGCCCATATATACTATATTACCTCACCTTCTTTTTCTGAATCGAAACAGATAACACTCACAAATAAGTCATGAGACATACCAAAAGTGTTGTGCAATTCTATGATTACAGTACGACTAAGATGACCGCTTCTGGAGTTTTACTTTTACAGTTTTGCAGGATAAGTTTAATACAAGTGAAATATACACAATATACAGTTATATAGGGTATCATCCATTATAATAACTTTCCATGAAATGAAATCATGCTAATACACGTTTGAATTTGATCTTTTATTTTTCAATTTTCAGTTACTAAGGCTTATTATAACAGTTGAATATCACAACCAAATTTTACTTTTTGTCATGCAACTTTTCGCCAAAATTCATCTAAAATGTCTATATTTTTATTGCCTCTAGTCAATTTTTATTGACGAAAAAGTTGTTTGAACAACCTCGGCCGTCGTCTATGTGTAATGGCTCTTAGTTTTTTTTGTCACTTACTGATTACATACCATCTATTAAACAACAATTTCGATAAGTGTTTGTCAGACATCGTAGATACCTCATTATCATTTGATAGGTACCAATGATGAACAAATATTTGACATTTACATCGCAATCAAACGGGAATCAAAAAAAAATCAAAGTATTCCAATTAATTTTAAAGTAAAATGTTTTAATGATTTTTAACTTGTACAATGCTATTTTTCTACAAGTGAAAATGACTTAGCCACCGGCAAAATAATATAAAAGCTTTCGTGCCTGGTTATAATTAATTTAACCTAGTGTATACAGTTCACAAACAAAATCAAAACAGAAATAAAGTAGATGGATAGATAGTTCGAGAAACAGGAAATACATTTAGACAAAATATCATGTAAAAGATGGAAAGTTTCATCAAAGAAACTTCTTTCAGAACTTTAATGCACGACATTCGTTTACATAATATATAAAATATACTATACGGCATGGATTTAGCACAACCGTTCTTAGAGATGGTAAGTCTTGATTACTGGTCAATTTGTTACTTATTTTCTTTGACAAATGATGTAATAAGTCATAAACAATGTAGATAACACAATTGGTAAGGATGGATTAACAAAACGTTTTGCTTTTACTATTGTAAAATAATTTTCTTCTTTCATAAAATGAGTTCATAGACCCACAGGATAGTTTCTAATCAGAGTATAGAATGTTAGATTCGTTCTTGTATCCACGGGCATTAAGTTATAGATAAGAGAGATTGTGACAAACATATCAAAACAAGCAAAACGTCGGAAATATGTTTTATTGTCACAGAAATGAAGTCATCATATTTTTAAATACATGTGGTTAGCGATGAATAAAAACTTTTCAAAATCAAGTTCGTCGATTGAAATTGATTTTTCTTCATTTTAAGTCCCAAAGCTCTAAGCTATATCCTGAATCTGTTACTGCATTTTCTTACCGAGCATTGTTGACTGCTTTTTCTTCGTTTATCGTAAGAAGAAAGGAAAGAAATGACAAAATACGGATGCTGATGATCTAACCAAAAGTCTAGTTTCTTGTTCGATGAAAAGAGAAAAGAAAAGAGAAAGAAAAACTTTTTTCTTGTCGATCCAACTATATACTAACACTTAAATTTCTAAGAATATAGAAAACGATGTTTCTACCTCATTCATAACACAATAAATCAGGTAAATTATTAATATCAAATTGTGTAATTTACATAGAAACCCGTGAACGATTTGTCTACTAATTTTCCTTAGTTATTTGCTTTTTCTCAAAAAACTTGATCAACTATAAAATCACTAAACATTTCTATTTCAAAAATTATAGTCAAATTTAAATGTAGTATCAATTTTAAAAATTCATCTCAAAGATAAAAGCTTTTTTTTGTTAACTACTTGAAGTAGCAGCATCTTTAAATATCGTTTATCTAAAATGTCTAGCATAAATATTTCAATCATTTTTTTCGGTTTATTATTAACACATATTAAAAGTTTTAAGTATATCAAACAGTTTTCAGAGAGTAAAATTACATAAAAAGGTAATCCATGTTTTAAAAGTTCTAAAGTGTTTTATCATTTTTCATAGTCATATTAAATTTTATCACTATCGTCTATTTGTTTATTTATTTTGTTTTTTTAACACTTGTCGAGTAATTTAATTATCATCTATCGTGTTGCATCTGTATCTTTTTTCTTCAATTCAAATTGAATTACTCACGACCTCAGAGCAATATATATAGAGCATCATTCATTCTTTTTTCTGTTCTTTTTTCACTAAAACGGATGCATAAGAACATTTCAACATGTGAATCCAATAAAAAGAAGAAAAAAAGAGACAAATAATGTTTTGAATAGATTATAAAACTCTTTCTTATAATGAATATTATTATTTTAATAATATTGACGTTTTGAAAACAATATTCTCTTCTTCACACATAAATACAGATAAGTTTTAAAAAAACTTTCATAAAATATATGTAAAGAGGTTTAAAAAAACCTTTTTCTACCTGTAATGTTTAGTATTTTGAAGATTTTTATTGAATATGAATGATGAATAATCATTACTCATAAGAGTAGCAGCTAATTTTGAATGGAAGTCTAGTAGTTAATAAAAAGAATTCTTGTATTTTGAACAGGATATAGATGAATGCTTGATAATTTGTTCGCTTTTTAATTTTGCATATCATATCTTAACTAGATTATTCTTAACCTTTTGAAATATTATTCAATGCAAATAGTTTTTCTTGATATTTTTGTTGAAAACCATTATATTTTGTCTGTCGTTAAAAAGTCATGTGATAACAGTTTTCTAGTTATTTGAACGAGTGAACATTTTTCAAAAGCTCAGATTATCGTCTATTTGAATTTATAAATAACTATCGATTTTACACATAGACAAAAATAAGATGTATTGTAAAAACGATTTAAATTATATATTTTTTTAAGAAAATTTTTTTAATATAAATTTTCTTCGAATACCAACCATCTTCAATATGTATTTGTTATTATTATCTTTTAGTAAAATGCTGACTACTAATCAATGTTGACATTTCTATTTTCTCGTCTGTCGAACAGTAGAGATGCAAATGACATCTTACATAGCTATCTGTAAAATTTCATCACATAATAACACGATTGGTTGATATTTATAATATTCTAACGGTCTGATAAATCTTGTTTGATAGTGAAAGGATCTGTTTTGCTTGAGAAATTGTACTTAATATCTCTAATGAATTACAGTAATAACACGTTTTTTCTAGACGGTTTACACATAAAATTGCGTTTTTGTCTAATAGACAACACACTACATACGTAAGGTAATATGTTCACAGTTTACTGTCTAATACACATATTTCATTTCGTTTATCATTTTAATGAGATATAGTGCATATATAAGTGTAATTTGTTAACTAAACAAAAGAAATACTTTCTTTCTTGTAAAAATAACATTCATATCAAAGATCTTTTGATCGAAACTAGACGGTCAAATAACGCGACACTACACCGTAAGATACAATACAAAACTGTTTTAAGTGCATTGAAACGATTTATCACTGCATTTGCTTATTTCATTATGTTTTTTCTTCATGCTTTTCTCGCGAAAAATCAAAAATTACAGAAATTTCAGATAGTTTTTTGACTCAGTTTTCACTGTCCTATACTATAAAAGCACTCCTAAGCTGCTGAAATGGTTCAATTGCTCAGAATCAGAAAAAAAATTTTTTTAGAAAAAAACTAATAGAATTTATGCACTTACACGGTTTCGTACCGTACCTTTTCTTTTACGAAATTTAAAAGAGTTTAGAAATGGTCGCACTTCTCTATACCCTTTTAAGTTTCGTACACAAATCGTTTTTTTACAGAGAGTAGTCAGTATGTGTCGTTATAATGCTACAATGATTTTTGAAATGAATTTCTGAAATCTAATCTGTGAAAAACCTAAAAATCGAAGAAATAAAAATAAAATTTGACTGAGATTATCATTTTGAAAAACATATATATTATTTTAAGTTCAGATCACGTTTATGTTCAAATAAATTTAAAAACATTTTAGGTTTTTCTAAAACCAGATATGGAAAATTCGTTTCAAGAATCATTGTGACGTCGTAACAAATATTTGATTCATAATTAGCACTATCGTTCACATAAAGTATTGAATCTTCAATGCAAAATGGTGATTTGACACTTAAAAAACATTCCCCGTGAGTCTTGCCTATTATAGTTTCATTAATGAACAAATGCATTTCTCGTGTCAACAATATTGCCTAGAGCTCTGTATCTATTTAAATACTTTATCCGTATGGTTTAGAGATGTAAATAAATTAAAAGAGAAAAGAAAATGGAAACCATAAATCGTTTCCGTCTCAGCTATTCATAAGAGAATGAATTGCATGCATTTATAAACTTCGAACTGATAAGCGTTTATTGTTTTTTCTTCTTCTCCTTCAACATACAACAAATACACTTGATTATCATCAATAAAAATGAGAGATATTATCGTCGATAAAAAAAAAAAATAGTAGACAAATTTTCTTTCTATCGAATGTCAGTAACTACTGTTACTTTGTCAGTACATCATCAATGTTAGAAAAATGTTTTGTTGTCTGTTAAGGATTGGTTATGTTTTACTCTTATCTTACATTTAAATCAATCATAATTAATTTCGTCAGTTTTTTACTTTCCTATGTTTTTGTTATCACCGTAATGTCCGTTTTGTTAATGTACTATCTTTGTTAATGATTACTTGAGCATAAATTACCATTTTATATCCAAAGTATTTATTCTACTATTCATAATATGTCATTTGTTAATTTGAAGAGACTATAGACATCATGAGAGAAATTATAGTGATTTAATTTTGTAATGTTCAAACATATCAAATTTTTTTCTCTCAATAGATTGGAATCTGAGCTTACATAAATGACTGATATGGTCATGGTTCAATTCTTCTAACATCTTTCTCTTAGAATAAAATTAGAATACCTATTCTAGCAGTTTTTTGCTCTCTCAAAGTAAAAGATAAAATAATTACACTTTAATGGTGTGGAAAAAAAAACAATATACAAAGGTGTACATCCTAGTCAATAATCAAACTGAATCTATGCTCACATTAAAAGTAGAATAATAGGCTTGCCAATAGACCTTCATTCTTCAATTTCCGGTGTTCAATACTACTAAACCAAATCACGAAATGAATGTCGGTGCATAAAAAAATTGATCCTCATTTTATTTTTTTCCTGTTTTTCGTTGCTTGTCAGATAGATGAATGGAACTATTACGTGTCTATTACGTCGAGAGAATACACAATACAAAGGACGAGAGAATGAGAAGGGGAAAAAGAGCGATCTATAATATGTCTGATTTTGACCAAACTTCAACAGAGAGGAATATAAATGAATGAGCGAAATACGTCTTTTTTTCTCTTCTTGAGTTCGCCTCTTGAATTCTTCTTTTCTACTAGAGAATGAAGATAAAAGACACGGGAACTTGTTTGTATTTCAAGAAGAATAGAATACGCACGACCGGAACATAATTTACTTTGATCGAATTTCTCATTCTTTATGAATAAATCTTTTTTCCCATTCATTTATCTATATCATAAGTCAAGTTGCTCGATCTAAATCACTACCATAGTAGTAAAAACAACAACAACAACAACAAATTGTGAGTTTTCCTTGTGTTCATGATATTCGTGTATGTAATATATATACACTTATTATGAAAAAAGGTATATGCCGTTGATCATCAATTATAAGATTGGATGGTAGACGAAAGAACAAGAAGAATAAATAAAGAGATGGATATAGGAGATTGATTTAATACAATATCTGTCGTACGTGACATCATTCTATATACTATACGGTTCGTCTCTCTCGAGAAAAAAAACAATTCACCAAAGCCGTTTCTTTATGTTTCTGTTTTTTTTTTTTTTTTTTTTTTTTTTAATAAAAATATTTTTTTTTTTTTTTTTTTTTTTTTTTTTAAATTTTTTTTTTTTTTTTTTTTTTATTTTTTTTTTTTTTTTTTTTTTTTTTTAATAGAAATATCTTTTGAAAATTTTGTTTTAGAAAAAGAAGAAAACTTTTTACATAAGTTTTTTGATACATTAATATCTTTTTTTAAATGTTATTATTATCACGTTTTCTTTCATGATTCTACGTAGAGAATTATCTATTAATTCTTTTTTTATCATACATATAAATGATTTTAAATTCATGTAATTTTATTGTAGCAATTTTTTTAAGACGATGAAAGAAAAATGACTTAAAATTAACACATCATTTTATCAGCAAAAATTTATTTCTTCAATCATTATCATTCAAGGTTTTTCAATGAAATTTTGATATTAAATTGTTAGACGATATTGCTACATATTCTTAACATCATTTTTCTTTTAAAAATATTATAGTTGAGTATAACGATCGAGAATAGAATTGTGTATTTATTCATTAGTTCAAAATTATTGTTTTAATTGGTGTTACATGAAAGTATGATCGCCATTATAATAATTTAAAGAAGACAAATTATTTTCATTTATCACGATTTGTGTTAAAAAATATAATTTTTAGTTCTTTTTTTTATTTTTTTTATTCTGATTTTCTTTTTTCCTCAAGTGAATCGGCAATATTCATTTTCTATTCTATAATAATATTTTACTAAATAAAAAGCTTTGTCTCAAGTTCATTCGAGCAATGCAAAAGTTTTCTTTTTTTTCCTCTTGCTCTTCTCTCTCATCGTATGTATGAGTGATTGATTAAAGCACGAAATGAAATTATGTTAGTCATAGTAATTTTATAACGAGTACATTCTTTTAACAATTTACTTATAGAAGTAATACTTATGAGTAATCGTTTACAATATGATGAAAAACATACGTAGGTTTTTCAAAAACAAGAACTTCCTTCATTTATAGTCATATATCAAACGTTTTCGCTTTATTTTTGAACAATTATCTTAGTATACGATTTTATTGTAGATGTCAATAACATGTTGGAAAAATTTTCTATAAATATTTTATAAACATTTTGAAGTTTAATTAAAACTTAAGAACTAACTTAGAAATAGATGTCAGCTTTTCGTAAGTAGAATAATTGTTGATGTCAACTTAATAACAATGTTTTTTCTTTTGTTAATAATGACAGTGTTACCTACCACTTCAACGCGGACAAATTTCAATTCGTTTTTAACAATTATTATTAACAAAAGACGTACGGCAAATCGACAACAGAGCGGAAGGAAATAAGAAAAAAAGAAATGAATGACTCGTTATCCATTATTCCACCACCATCCGTGAAATATGTACGCAGTGAGAGTGTTGAATCCAATGGAACAACAATACATATGTTATCTAAAACCGATGAAACTCCATCTGGTTCTGTTGATACGACAGATGATAATAAAACATTGACTACATTTTCATTTAGTTTGATTTCAGCCTATCCAGATTCAACTGAATTAAACCTAGTGCCTAGAGCAGATTTGCATAATAATAATAATAATAATAATAATAATAACAATAATAGTAACACAACGACATTCTTTCACATTCATAAAAACAAGCAAACATCTAACAAATCACTTCATTTATATCAAGGTAATTAAATTAAATTAATATATTATTGTTCGAGTGAACAATTACTGTCTGTGTTTTACAGATTTTCTAACGTATACATAATGAGATTTGTACTTTATTTTATAGCATACTAAAATTTTTGATGTGCTAATTATTTTATTTTTAATCAGCGTCTATTTCATGCTCAGTCTTTAAAGTCGTTCTAACTGATTATGAATAAGTAGCGATAGTGGATCTTAAAAGGTACGTTTTTATTTCCAGGTAGGATAAGCATAAAAAGAATAATAAAAAAATATATTAGATAGTTTTTGTTCATTTCTTCAAGCCACCTGTTATTATTAAACTAAGCCCATCTATTTTGAATAATGTTGAGTGTTAGTAAGATGTTCGTATACAATTATAATGAGGATTTATTCTATCTACTTTTAACTATTGTATGTTATATTTATTCTTTTAATAATAATTGTATGTTATACTCGTACGTCTAGCAGGAAGGAAAACGTGATCAAATATCGTTTTAAGGAGTAACTTTCTTGATACGTAATTAGACAAGATAAAAACATAGAATGAATAGAACGAAGGATAGAATTACATCAGATAATTATGGTCAGCGCTTGAATTATTTTGAACATAGCCGAATTATTTTTGTGCGAAGAAAAACATCATAGGTAGATAAATGACTCTATCAAATAATCTAAAAATTCATCGAAAATTCACTAGAATTAAATGTTAATCAGTTTCTTGCGAATGTATCGACCGAGAATAATTATTCTCATTTACAGTAAAAAGGATCATTACGCTCTAGCTGCTGTCTCTATATATAACTTCTCAATGCAAAACAAAAAAGTTATTCATTCGCCCAAGTACTTGGCTGAAGCGAATCAAGTGATGATACCTGATGAGTGAGTAATTAGACAAGGACTTAGGAAGTAAAAACACTTGCCCAGTTCTTGTTCAAGTACTTTCCAAGTACTCGACAAGTAATCAAATACTTGCATGAAGCAAATTACCTAGAGTAGACAGATAAGATTTAGAAGATTTTGACAAGCTCAACCTTTTCTCTACCACCCTATATCTCTAAAAACCATTACTTATTAAATGGTAAAACTAAGAGTGTTTTTGTTTCGCATCAGCTTTTGGCAATTGTTTTACATATGACATCCATAGTTCAGGATGCTAAAGAATTTTGTCATTTAAAATAGTACCGAAATACAACTATTAAGAGACAGTACAGGTTGACAAATGAAAATCTGGATAGGACTATCATGAAAAACAACTACCCATATTAAACACAACGGTTCGTTAATGTCCTGAATACGATCCGTTAATAGTACAGTAAACAGGCAGTTTAGGGCAGAAAAACGACCTTGTTTATGGCCAATATTTTTCATCGAGTTGGCCACCTTTTGGTTTTGCTGTGATCACTAGTATATAACGACCACTGATACTATCGGAAAAATTCAGAAAGCGTTCTCTGTCTCGGACACTTAAGTGAGAGACAACTGGTTTGAGAAAGCGATGTTTGGTACTCGTACAGCACTATGACAGGTACTTACGACAGTATAAGTAATCTAAAAAATTGAAAAAGTATGAAAGTACTATTCTCTAGGTAAAAAGTCAATGACAATTACTTTCAGCAACGGTCTCAAGAATGATACCATAAATAAACCATTTTATTACCAGAAAAAAGGACAAATAACGATAGTAAAACGATCCTAGCTAACGAGGGAACCTTTTGCGATGTCCCCTTCCGATTCCAATGATTTGTACATGGATCGACAGGCCTCAGTAAGGTAGTAAATACCCTGAAAGGATTCATGCCTTTGACTCTTGAAGACCCGGTGTTTCAAGAACTCTAAAGAATAACCAAAACCTTCTTTTAATGAGGTATGATTGTAGCCCGCAAATTTCTGATTAAAATGAGACGTCTTCCAGCTCTACACGACCTTTCTTTGCAAAGTTATGGAATTTACAAAAAAGTCCTAAATGTTCATTGTCAACTCAAAGCTACAGAAATAAGACGAAATCAATGTAGGGCTTTTCTTGTAAATTCTATAACTTCGCAAAGAAAGGTCGTGTAGAGCTGGAAGACGTCTCATGTTAATCAGAAATTTGCGGGCTACAATCATGCCTTGCTAAGAAAAGGTTTTTGTTATTTTTTAGAGTTCTTGAAAAACTGGTCTTCCGGAAAACCGGGCCTTCAGGGGTCATTGGCACGAATCCTTTTAGGATATTTACTACCTCACTGGGATCTATCGATCCATGTACAAATCATCTCGAAAGGTTTCCTCGTAAGTGGTTAGAACATTATAACAATGGTTCGTTCACCCTATGTAAACGTTAACAGATTGCAACTACACTGTTTTCGTTGACCTGGATGTTTATTGTACTAGTCTATTCAGTTCGTGCTTTCGAAGATTACCATCATTCATCATGAGGAATGCAACAAAATGACAAGAAAAATTACTATTCTACGCTTCCACTCAGCAGTTTAGTTTAAATATATATATATATATAATTAGAATAATTTTTGTTGTCATTTTCTTGTATTTCTGATGATGAAGATAGTAATATTCGAAAGCTCAAATTAACTAAAGAAATCGTGGATTCTGTTAGATCTAGATGTTTTTCATGGCAGTCATATTCGGATTCACCTGTCGATTACTTAATATTGCTTACTCTTTCACTTTCATTTTCATGCTACACGTTGTTTTTTGTCTTTTATAAGCTGCTTTCATTTACGGACCTAAATTATATCTTCCTTTTCTATGTTTCATATCAATGAATAGGCAACGAAGACAGATTAAAGACATGGGAGATGTACTATATAACCTATTTGAATTGTCATACTATATGATATGATACTTTATCCGGACAAAACTGTATCTAAAATACTTCATATAATTCAAGCGTTGACCCTGATTAACGGATCATAAGTTACTGCTTATTTTTGCAAAGCATTTTCTCGCTTATCTTTTTGATCAAAATTTGAAAATATGCTCATTCGATGATACAGAAGTTCATTTTTTATAAAACTACTTAAAATACTATTGTGTTTGAAGTATCTGTTGTAGTATACAAAAACTGAAAAGTCTTATCGATGTCACAGCGCCACATCATTACCGGTTTACAAAAATGCTTGATACATTCATCAAATGTATAAATAAAAAACCAAATTCTACAATATATGGTAGAGCATCTTCTGCTCTATCGATCTAATAAGTTGATTTCGTATTTTTGAAGAATTTTTTATGTATATGTGAGGAGTGGATCAGTTTCACAATAGTTTTTTCAGTTTATTGCCAAAGATGAGTGAAAAATTAATATAATATTCTAGTTTATACAAAAAATTCGAAATTTGATTCTCTATACATTTAAACTATTTATAACAGGAAGTATTTATATCTTAGTAGCGCAAATGTCAAAAACTGAGAGAGAAAGGAAATGGGTAAGAAATCGCTGAGACGCACTTTAATTTGCGTTATTATTTTACTACGAAGAATTGTTTTAAATCATTTAACGAACTTCGAGAACTGAAGATAACATTAGATATTACTTTCTAAGAGGACCACTACCAACATTTGAAGCATTTTTGTATATTATACGAGATGCTTCAAACACAATGGTATTTTAAGGAGTTTTGTACAACGTCTGTATCACGTGAATATATTTTCAAATTTTAATCAAAAAAGAAAATACTGGCCAAAAGTGGACAGTTTTCATAATTCAACCCTTACACCATGTGATCATACATAAGAGAAAGTATTATTACACTTGATACCAATAAATAACAATGCGTATAAAGATATTCAAAATTATAGATCACATCGATTCGTGTAACATTCATCCGTTAATAACAATTGAATCGGCTTAATAAAAGACAAAAAAAGTTTTAGTTACACTAACAATAACAAAAATAAGTTGCGATTCTATACATTCAATTGGTACACATACGTCTAGAAGATGATTCACTCTTATGTTGGTTAATCGGTATCAAAAAAATGCAAATATAGTAATGTTTTAGCATTTTTTGAAGAGAAAGTTTATTAATTTGTATTAGCTGACTTTATCCCTAAATTATTCATTCTCTGAAATATGACAGTTTAATTCAGGACTCTTTTATGATATGTAGCCTAGTGGTAAGATTATTTTCAATGCACAAAATGATGACTATTTGTAGTAGAAAATAATTAGATACGAAAGTTTTATAGTACTTAGAGAATACTTCTGTTTTCTTATAAACGATGAGTTTTCGAACTGTTTTCGTGTATTTCTAGAGAAAAACGATAAATTATCATTATCTAATTGTCAAGTATTAAAGCCTATTAATCCAGTGATGAACAACGATAAACAATTACCAATCATTTTAAAAAAGAGAAAAGAAAGAAGAGGAAGAAAAGCAAATTCTGAAAAACATTTGCCAAAAACAACTTCACCAACTGTCAGTTATACAACTTCTGTCAGTGATCATAACGACACATCTATCAATGTAAATAAAAATTTAAATTCATCTGACTTACCAGTTTTATCCTTGACGCCTTCAGCCAACAAAAAATCATCATTTTTATTTTCTTCTTCTTCCTCTTCGTCTCCATACGTTTGTTCTTCTGTTTCCTTATTACCTACAACGACAGTGACACTACATACAGCAACAGTCACAACGACAACATTTTCATCACCATCATTATCATCATACATTACAACGGCTACAAAAACTAGTCCTTTCATTAAACATAACGTACAAAATACGAAACGAGAGCGATCTGTCTCAGAACCAAACAGAAAACTACTTGATTCATATATAATTAAACAACATCGACGTACGCATGCTCCACCTCTCTCACTCGACAATTTAATTCCAAGTAGACCTGTCGAAACCACTTTATATGTACCCTTTAGAGAAATCGATGAAACAAATGAGAAATCATTAACAAAATCGCACGATTCAATAGTAATTATCAAAGAAAATAGTTCATATCCGATAGATGATTATGACTGTGACTATGACTACGATCTAATAACACCAAGGCATTATCAAAAACGAAGACAAGAAACATATCATTATCAAGAACCTAATAGACGGAGACCTAATACAGAAATATTTCGAGATAATGATTATGGCAACAATGATACTCATGGAATACAACAGCAACAATCGAATACAACTCGAATAAAATTAAGTTTACCTAATGAGATTCGTGATCTAACTTCCCATCGTCATTACGTTTACCCAAATCAATTTTCACACGCACACCATTTATATCCCCGAATTCGTTCTCGAAAACCTCGTCCACGCTCTGCTTCGGGTGAATTTACTTTACCTACTTGTCCTCCTATAACAGTGACAATCGAACCGAACAGTGAAACCACATCGTTATGCCGTGATTCTTTATCGGCTAGCGGTGGTTTAGCCCATGTATGTGATGAAAATTGTACCATGCTAGGCGAAGATGCTGGTTGTCCGTATTATCTCTCATCGGGAGTAGAGGCTTTAAAAGGTACTGTTAGTGGATCTTATTCATCTTATCTAACGAAATATTTCATGGATCTGCTCAAACCAAGTGATAATAAGTTGGCCATGAAATTGTTTGGATCGAAGAAGGGTGTGTTAAAAGAACGGTTAAGGCAACAAAGAGCAGGACATTGTATTATTCATCCATGCAGTAATTTTCGGTACGTAACGTCCAACATTTATATTTTACTCGTTTTAAACAACGGAAACCACTCATGAGGAAATCAGTATTGGGAATTAAACCCAATTCAGCTGAAATATCGATTTTTAGTGATTATTTTTAATAGTTATTTTCGTTGGGAATATGATATCCATCGTACTTTACAAATCAGATTTCTTCAATTCTGATTTTTGTCAAAGTAACAATTTTAGCTGAAAGATAGACATTAGATTTGTGATCAGCATAAAAAAAATAATCACTAAAAACCTGCATTTCAATAAAAATGCGATTAACCACTTGGGAATGCCACTTCAACGTACCGCTTCAAGAAGTAGACAATAAATTTTAGTTTACTGTCTTAAAGCAAAATAATGTAGAAAAACATTCAAGTTGTATAATAATCATGTGAAGTCAATGATATATGAAGTGAAATACTCTTTTATCACTAAAACATGCTAAATCTAGAATAGATAATATATAACCTAAAATTTTATCAACTGTTTTCTCTTCACTCTGTATGCTAATTTATCCAATCTAACCTCAAGGTAAATATTATAATATAACCTGTTGAGATAAAGACTTTTGAACTTGTAAGATTTACTATACTGGATGAAGACCTAGATTGAATTCTGAATATTTATGTTAATTGCTTAACTCTTCCGGACAATCTAACTATTATTTTATATCAGTAATAAAACAAATTGTTCTGTAAAAATCAAAAAAATGAGTTCTTCTGTTTTGATGAGCAGTTCTTTATCTGATAAAAAGTGTAATTTTATTATATTATTTCTTTTTTAACATTTGAAAAATATTATAAAATAGAATCTGTCGAAAGTAAAATTAGTTTTTAAGTAAGCAGTTTACTGAAACTTTCACAGTAAAATATTTCTTTCAAACTATCAACACATCTTGGTATTAATTAAAATGCTGAAATAGTAAAAAATGATTCATCTTTTCTTTTCGTGTGGTTTTACTTTCGCTCTATACCTTAATTGTTTAAATTTCTTATTGTTAACGTATGTCTATTACAAGTGTATTAGGCAATTATCGTTGCCGATATTAAAATTACCAAAAGCTTTGATACGAACAATGGTACAAATACTACTGTCAAAATATCGATATTTTTGCCTCTAATGTTGCAAAGACAAAAAATGTTTAGAGGAAAGTATGTTAGTCTTTCTAAAGCTAATTTGTACTACTAGTAGATACGATGATTTATACATTTATAGGAATGGAATGCTTGAACATTATCCTACTCATGAATAGTGAAGACGTTAAGGAATTTTATCTACACAAATAAAGATGTAAATAATTATACAAAACATTTTTAAACACTATTAATCAATGGTAGGGTGGAATTCTATCTTTTTTGCTTCTAAACATAAGAAAACGATTAATCTTCAATTGATCTAGATAGTTGTTCACCATTCGTAATGGCGTGTTTATATTAGAGTAATAACAGATTATTTTCAGTGAAGAGAGAAATGATAATGACATATTTTTTCTCTCACTATCTGTTATATTTCTTCTGTGTTCGACTGTTATTCACTGGTAAATATGTATAGATCGATGCCGCAATGTCAGTTAATATAGACATTATTTCGAGAATGAGAGAATGGTCTCAAAGGAAATCCCAATAATAATCATCAAAAAGTTATCAAAAGTTAAATTAATGAGCTATCAAACGCCTCGCACTATGCACACAATAACTAAACGTTCCAACTCACAGAGTGAATTATATTTTGAAAATGAGTTGACTTAATATTGTATTTGAGGCTTTTAGCCACTTTTCTATAAATAAATCACCAGACTATGTTTAATAAATCAATTTTATTTTTTTATAATTGAAACTATTCTACTAAGTCATTATGAGAATTTACATACATCAACCAGTTTAAGACGCAAAAGAAATTTAGATTTACCTCAAAATTTCCATATAGTTACCTCTACTTACAAAATATGAAGACATGCACAGTTTTCGCAAAAACTATCGAAAAGTATTTTGAGTTTTCTGTGATATATTGATGTCATAAAAAAATCACTAAAATTGTAGTCTTCACTTTTTCTCTACTTTATGTTTCTTGATATAACCAAAGACATATTCATGATCTAGAACTATTAATCTAACAATTTTCGTATCATCCTTAGTTCGGTGAGAAGAATATTTCATGTAACGGAGAAGCATGGTCCACAAATACCTACCTCACGTCGTCAGTCGAATTAGCTTTTACCTTTAACACCAGACATAGATTTCCACTGTGTCGAGTTTGGTGGAAATGTTTGTTTTCAGCAGAGAATTCAAGAATCTAGTGGAAAAATAGGTGAAATAGTTATACAGAAAATTATAAAATTCACAATTCAGTCAAAATTGAAAATCTTCTCATTGAGTGTTTCAGAGAGTTGATCGGTTGAATACTTCAGATACAAAGGATCAATAAAAACTAAATGAATTGTACCCTAGTGAGAAACTTACTGGAATCTTGCAAAGATCGTGAGACCCCTAAATTCTAAGATTTGATAAGATTTTGTTAAGATCGTACTAAAATCTTATTAAGAATAGTAATACCTTATCTAAGATATTTTTCAAGATTGGGTGAGAATCTGTTTGTATCTAAACAGTAACAAGTATTACGTTTTTTCATAACAATAATTCACCATTAATTAACAGTGTTTGTATATCTCCCAATACTGTTGTGATAGAAGTTGAACAGGTTTGACGAGTGAACAAAAATTTCATTTTTGGGGGGATCCGATTTTGCACCTTGACTTGCACTGTACATTCCCTAAAAAGTTATTAAATATTTTCGAGAGAATAAGTACAAGTAAGGTCTGAAAGAAAAATAACAAGGTGATATTCAGTTATTTTAATATTTACGTTGTTGCTTATATAGATGTATGAGAGTAAAACAAAAGAGCGATTGAAAATAGAATCATGTGATTCCATTTGTCTATGTTGCGTTTCTTCAGATAGCCAGGTACAATGCTTTGCGACTCCCGACTATCTGTGATGCTTATTTTAGCTGACTAATAAAATAAAGATTAAACTGGTAGAATCATCAAATCTTATTCAGATCTTACTTAAGATCTTAGATTGCCTTATCAAAATATTATAAAATCTTACTAAGGTAATTTTAAGAAGTACATGAGATTCTTACTAGTGATTGACCCAAAACTTGCTCGATGAAAACTATTCGTTTGTCGTCTATCTCTGATGAGGCAAAGCGTTCTGCTTCCGAACTCACATGCAAGGTAGAGGAGAGTGTGTGAGTTCTGAAGTTGATCCACTGGTAATGTAAAAAGATTCAGTGAATGGCAAAAAATATATTAGCATTGTCAATCAAAGTTTTAATTATAATCGAAGATTACGACAGAACCGTGTACAGAGTTGATTCAGACGACACTACGATGTCTTCAGTTGTACATTCGTATTAAAGTAGACATGACAGTATAGATACTGATACAGCTTAATGCCTTTTCTAGAAAAAAATAATAATTATTCTTATAAACTTTTCCATCATAAAACGAATGTTTTTATAAAAAAGATTTTGTACATAACGTAAAAGAGATGATTTTTTTAATAATATATCCGGATAGACAGTACTTGAAAGCATGCATTCCGATGTTTGCTCTCTTGAGTGAACTTTAGGGGAAAAAATAAGAATGTAAAATAGAGAATCGAACCATTCCACTAATTTTTTATTGTACCTATAATGTTGACGATCTGAATGAACACAAGAAAATTTAATTTTGTTAGTTCCGTTCTTTCAGTGTGAGAATACTGTATACAGATATAATCAATATAATATGGATATAACTATGGCAGACACGCGTATGACTTTTTTTCTTAATTGCGCAATTAAGTGTTTTTTATGACATTATCTTCTGCAAATAAGCGTCATCCATTGTTGCATCTCACTGGAAACTTTTTTCTGTACATCTGTTTCCAATTACAGTTTTTTTAGCCCGCATTCTAGAAAAGAAAAATAGGACTTTTGTTTCTAACTTAGCGTTTAAGTCACAAGGATTTCGATGAGATGTAAAACCACTATTATTTACAACATATACATAATGTATAACAGGACGAATACATGTACATATGATGTTTTAGCTTAGTTAGCGTATTTTTACATGAACTGTGCTGTTTTTTTCCACTTCTTTGTCTATTTTAGCTTTTATTGGGATTTGGTAATGTTAATATTGTTAATAACCAATGTCATCGTCCTTCCTGTAGCCATCGCATTTTTCAGTGAAGAAATTCACTCAGCAAAATGGATTGGATTTAATCTTATTTCTGATATGTTTTTTTTATTTGATATTGTTGTCAATTTTAGAACAGGTATGCTGTTTTTACATTATAATTTTCTTATATGTTCTTTCGATTTTAAATATATGATTTGTTTAGGAATACTACAAAATGATTATGTTGACGAAATCATTTTGGAACCAAAACAAATCGCTATTCATTATGCTAAAACGTGGTTTGCTGTTGATTTACTCTCATCGTTACCTGTCGACTACATCTTTTTATTTATTGAAACTGGTGATGGATCATATCAGTTAGCGAGAACAGGACGAGCAATCAAGGTGCTAAGATTAGTCAAATTATTGAGTCTACTCAGATTGTTAAGATTATCCAGATTAGTCAGATATATACATCAATGGGAAGAAGTAAGTACGAATGCAGCGCGTATTTGACACTACTTAGTAATCATCGAGACTGCTATAACGATAAAATATCGATTCGACACAAAAGATAAAAATATTTTCAAAGACAGAGGTGCTAAGTGACTGTGTTCAGGTATCGTCGACGCAAGTAAAACTTAGGCAGAACACGGGAAACTTTTAAGCAATACAGCAAACGTTCAAATTTTTTCGGTTAGATGCAGCACTAGGATCTAAACGTCTCATTTGAAGTCTCTAAAAATTGAAAACATTGCTTATTACATCCATGCGAGTCTAGAACAATACTGACTTCTCTTTTCATTTATCAGCCTAGATCGTTAATCTGAAATCTTTGTTCATGACTACAAAGGTTTTAATCAGTCTTGTTTTCTTCTCAAAAGATTTCATTTAAGTTAAAAATCTTTCATCCATCATGTTTAGAACCATCGGATTCGATATTGTTTTATAGAACCTTGCATTAGAAATTTTCTTCGTGTTCATTTACCCAAACTAGTAACATAAAAATGAAAAACAAAAAAGTCATAGCAGTTCGTGTATGCAGTTAAATGTTTAAGTCGTCTGTCTGTCCTTTTTTAAACAATTAACGTTTTCTTTTATTTTTTTTATCATTTGATTCACCGGACCCTTTTCCATATTTACAAAAAGCACAAAACAGATAAAATCTTCATAAAAGTTTGTTTTGCTGCTTGTTTTTTCTGTGATTATATCCCTGTGAAACTCCAGCGGATCTGATTACTATTCATACCACAGAACATATAACAGATAAACGTTTATGATGTCTTTTTGTTGTCATCTTATACATGATAAGTTTTATACACAAGATGAAACCGGATATTATAAATAGTGCATTACATATACTTGCTCAGCGTGCTTATATTAGAACTTAACAGCGAGATAAATTTTGCGTTAAAATATTTTCTAAAGCTTGTGAAATACAGAGAATGTTCGTCTACTTAAAGATGTCTCTTAAATACACGTATGGTTTTCAGAAAACAACACTTACAAGGGAACATTCCGAGCTGTAAAATGACAACTTAATCGTTTGAAAATTAATGTCATACGTCATCTGTAGCTGATCCGTGATATTTGCATCAGTTGATCACACCATGTTTTGTAAACATCAGAGAATATCGTTGTTTCTCTTTCTTTTATCCAACATGTTTGATGAATATTAAATTCACTCTTATGTGAAATGGAGGGTAATAGTATAATAGTTTAAAAAAGAAATTGCGTCAAATCTTTAGCTCTTAAAATATATGAAGATTTCAAAACTTGGCCTATTTATAGAACTTGTCCTCTAACGAGAGAACATTCCCAGCTGTCTAACTCCGATTTCTTTCAAACATACATCAATCGATAGCCTATATCGAAATAGTAAAAAGCCTAAAATGATTTATCCCAATGGTTCTTGAAGATCCGCTTTTCTGAAAAACCAGTTTCCTAGAAACTCTAAAAGGATAACTAAAACGCGTCTTAATAAGGCATGAATGTAGCCTGGAAATTTCTGATTAAAATGAGGCGTCTTCCAGCTCTACACGATCTTTCTTTGCAAAGTTATAGAATTTACAAGAAAAGCCCTAATGTTCATTGTCAACTCAAAGCTACGGAAATAAGACGGAATCAATTTAGGGCTTTTCTTGTAAATTCTATAACTTTGC